CTGATATATTTAGCCATTGATAATTTGGAGCAATAACGTCAAAACATAATTTGTTGATAGAATATTTATTTTAAAGAATTAAAATGGAAATAAAACTGTGTATCATGTATCACAATATTGCTAATATTTGAATAAATACAATATTTTACTTTTGATAACCAAAGAAAAAAATTGAGTAAGTTTATCAGTTGACGGATTGAACTTTTCTCGTTACCATACATCTATCTAGCCAATGATTGATAATGCAATAGTAGACACTTAATTAAAAATTTTTTATTCGATTCTAATTTCATCATATCAAGTTTAGGGACTGATTAAACGTACGATATCACAGGAAGTATATATAAATTATTTTATTTGATCTATAATTATTTTATGCTAGAAGATTATACTGGTACTACAGTATTATTTCGTATTTACTAAACTTTTAAACAGAAAAATTATTACCAAGATAAAAAAATAAAAATTAATGTTTTATTATTATGCTTTTAATGCATGCATCTGGTCGACTAAATGGCTTGAGTTCAAATTCAATACCATCATAAACAAAAACAGACAAAATTTTAGCAATATACTGAAATTTACAAGTAAATAGACCATTTATTGATGTACTCTAGACACATTTATGGTCTACAGGATATCAGAATTTACAGAGGGGCAAACATTGACTCTGATCACTACCTCACAATCGCCCGAATCAGAGCACGAATTTCAATGGTGCGAGTCTAGCGAAGAACACAACAAGCCAAGTTTAACGTGGAGGTATTCAAAGATTATGAGAAGAGAGAAAGCTTCTCTAGGCATGTGAATCATAGGATAAAAAACCTCAGTGAATCCGGAAACTTAAACCAACAATGGAGTAGTTGCAAGGAGGCAATAGTGGAAGTCGCAAATGAAACAGTTGGGTGTCAGGAAGTTACACGGAAAGCAGGATGGTACGATGAGAAGTGTCAGAGGATCACTACTATTAAGAATAAAGCTTATCGGCAGATGTTCCAGCGAAGACACACCAGAACTTCTGTAGAAGAATACCGAACCCGAAGAAGGGAAGAGAAAAGACTCTTTAAGGGGAAGAAAAGGACCTGGGAAAGGAAACAACTGGAAGAGATAGAGAACATAAGGGGCCAAAATGAAATCAGGAAAATCTACAACCGTATCAACCAGAGCCGAAGAACTATCAAACCCCGGACCAGTGCTTGCAAGGACACAGAGGGGAACTTAGTCACTGATAAGAACAAAATAATGGAGCAATGGAAATGCTATTTTCAAAGGCTCTTAAATGACAATATCCCCTGCTGTAGAGAGGAAAGGCAGGAACTACCGATTGGCAATCTGGAGCCTCCCGACATGGAAGATGTGGAAGACGCCATAGGATTCCTGAAAAACAATAAAGCCCTGGGACGGATGGGATACCTTCGGAACTGTTTAAATATGGAAGAGAAGAACTCGCAAGATTTATGCATAATGTTATTATGGAAATATGGGCGGAAGAAGTATTACCAGATGATTGGTACAAGACAATCATCTGCCAGATCCATAAGAAAGGAGATATCTTAGATTGTCACAACTATCGTGGAATATCTTTGGTATCGTGTGCATATAAAATTCACTCAAGAATCCTCTTTCAGAAGCTACTTCCGTTCGCTGAGAGAGAAATAGGAATATATCAGGCTGGATTCATGCGAAGAAGATCTACGGTCGACCAGATATTCGCTATTTGAACAATCCTAGAAAGAGCAAGAGAGTATAATGTATGTACACACTACCTCTTCGTAGACTTAGAGAGAGCTTATGATAGCATCCTGAGAGATGAGCTCTACCATGATATGTTGAGCCTGAATGTTCCACCTATACTTGTGCGACTGATACAAGTGACAATGAAGGAGGTGCAATACACTGTCAGAATCCAAGGTGATATGTCGGACTACTTTGAAATGCAGAAGGGACTGCGCCAAGGAGATTGCTTGGCGTGTCTTCTATTTAACATTGCCCTCGAATGTGCCATTAGAAGATCCTAAATTTTAATTAAGGGGAACATTATCTGGTCAAGATTTTATTTAAAGAGAAACTAGCTTTATCAAAAAAATGGACTGGAAAGAAACACTATCATTCATTCTGCTGGAAAGCTAAACAGGTACATGTAGCTCAACAATATCAAGAAAATGACAGATTTGGAGAAAACTCTGAAGAGTTAATGGTGCATTCTTTATAAGCATTGGTTCCTGGAAATGACAGTATTCCTAATTAGGTTCTTAAATACGGTTGCATGTTAGTGGTGGAGGAAATGTTTAACCTTTTATAGATGTCCGGATGGAAATGAGGACGCCACAGGATTCGAATGATGCAGTTTTGTGTTCCATACATAAGAAGAGAGATAGATCGGATATCTGCCAAAACATCGAGATATCGCCCTACTGTCCACTGCCTGTAGGCTTGAATGAACCTTGTAAGGCTCATTCAATTAGAATAAGCAGAACATGGCGGTATGATAAATTGACAAATACCAAAATCGCTTCCGGTCAGAAACAAGTAGAACAGATCGTATCTTCTCAATTCGGTAAATTGTGGCAAAAGCAATGAACTACATTACGTTTTGAAAGCACTCGAGGCCCCAAAAGAGTGAAACGCCGGCCTTTTAAAAACATTTTAAAAAATGTAAAAATAATTATTATTTTTTATTTTGACTGATCAGCCCAACCATCCTTCTCTTCAATTAACATTATAGTGGTTTGAATTTTTTTTTACGATTTTATATTATGTAGGTAAGTGAAAATTAAAAGCATTTTTGTGTACACTCTAGGAGACAGTCAAATGAAATGTTACCAAACATGTATTTATTCTCTATTTTACATCATGATTTGTACGTAAGAGAAGATTGATGATTTATTAACTCTTTGAAAAATTTAAATAATGATTGGTAACTATACGAATTAATAGCGTAAAACTGAATTTGTGGGTTAAATTAAAGGATTGGACATTTCATTTGTTATTTTGATTTAATTTGTTTCAACAACAGATCAAAATTATAGTGCATGGAAAGAAAATAATTTCAAATGATGCAGATAGTCACCCAATAATGAAAAAATAATGTTGTTTAACCGATAAGCCCAGACCTCCAGGGAATTATCCTCCAGAGACCATGGAGGGGAGTTAGTACTTAAGCCGCTGCGAGCTGGGTATTCGGCAGTTCATCCTTCGCTCTTCTTTCAGCCATCAGTGGCCAGGATAACCAGACCAAGGTATATTACATTATCGCTAGAAAGAAAAAAATGGATATTTTTATTATTTATAATTTAGAGTATTTATTCAACATACAATCATATTCAACAGATTTTTTGTTTTTTATATTCATTTACTTATATATGGAATATACAGTAAGGAAAAATATTTCGGATTGTGGAAAATTTGGAATCCTGATTTTCAACGCAAACGCACATTTTTTTTATATAGTATAATTTTAATCGGTTGTTAAAACTAATTAAATCAAAATAAATAAGTTGTCAAAGAGTAAATAAATCCCCAACATTTTCTTCCGAATAATTCAATATATGAATTGGAGACAAAACGTATAACATTTACTTTTACTAAGTAATTATAATAGGTTGTATCACAAAAACATTTTTTACTTTCACTTACTTGTATAAAAAATTTCAGTAAATCAAAGCATTGCGATCGTGAAAAATTTCTTAACCTAGTTTTCAAGAAGAATACATGTTTAAGTTTTGCTGCATCCGAATAAAGTACAAGTTTCATAAAAATATCTCTGAACAGTCAAACAAAAAATGAAAAATAGTAGGAAACTGAATGTATGTATTTAAAGTAGTTAGTATATGATTGTGGTGTTACAGCAACATTTGTACTAATTACCGGAAGTAGCATTTTATATAATCAATTTCACATATTTTTATGATTTGTATCGAAAACGACTCAAACGATTTCGATTGAACTCGATATAAAAATATTAAACTGTATGGTTTTTAATATCAGGTAGTTCATATTCTCATTCAAATAAATTCAAAGTTTTAAAATAGCTTTCTTTAATGTACCTTTGATATGGTTCGTTTGAAATATATAACTGTCCTTTCTAGTTATCACTAATAAGAAACTTGTTATAAACTATGAATTAACATTTGCGAATTAACAATGGTAGAAAAAAGAAAAAAACATTTTCTCAGATTGAAAATGAATTTCTACAAATAAGAGTAGTAATATGTAGCTGAAAAGTTAACGATTTAAGAAATATTAGTATCTAACATATAACACCGTATAAGTTATTGTAGAGTGATAACAAACATATGTTTAATAATTTCTGAAAAGTAATATTATTTAACGGAAACTAAATGTTTTCTTGGAAAGCAAATGGAAACTTTTATGATTTTTTCCAGCTTGACCATTCAAATATATAAATTGTCGTTTTGGAATTGTTTCAAAAACTATTTCATCGTACTTTTGTGGGAAAGAATGAGAAGTGGATGCCAAAATATTTCAAGCTTTTTACGGGGTTAATCAAAAGATCATTAAACTTTGGCTGGAGTTCACTTAACTTGCATTATTTGAGCAGTAACTTAATTATTTAAGATATTGACAAGAAAAGCATATGGCAAGTGGGACTTGTGTGCGCATCACACAGCCTCCACTTATCATCGTATTCGACATCGCACTAAATTTTGGATAGGTATCTACAAGTGTTGGTAATTATTACATTTTCTACAATTAACTTAACTAAACCATGATTGTCAATATCTATGTCCTCAAGGATCATTTTAGGTAGAGATTTTAATCAAAATTTCTGATATCCCTTAAAAAAATATCATGATTTTTTACTTTGTTCTTTTACTTTTCATATCCACTCTTATTGACATTGATAAGTAATTTATTAATAAATAATAGTTCTATATATGTATACATGCTCATATGTATTGTATTATGTAAGTCACTAGGATACATAAATAAATATTACTATTATACAGGTGGATACCCCAGTAGACTTGCGAGGCGGTATGGCAGCCGGAAGAAGTTCGACCAACAGGAGCACAGCGCTGAGCCATATCGGCCTAGTGCTCTCGGCGATCTACCTCAACTTGACTTTAGACTCTGTAAGGGATTTACTTGTTTGTAATTTAGTTCAAAATAGGAATAATTTCTTAAGTTTATTTTTAGTAGCAAAGTTTCCCAATAACTAGCAGTATTCGAGTATTATTAATATATTTAATTTAAATAATTCACTGCCTTAAATAATTTTGAGTCTTGCAACTGTTATCTTAATTATGGCATATAAGCCTAAACTTACTATTCAAGCAATTAAGTATTTTTGTAATAATCAAGTATTTTACAACGCAGGTCAACGGTAGCGAACACCACTCTTATGGGGGAGGAGGGTATGTACCACCTGTTGTCGTCCCTCCTCAGATGTGGCCAGAGTTCCTGACCAGGCTTGCCATCGGGGGCTTCGGCGATCAAGGAGCTCTTGGAAACTACTTCAACCAGAATGGCGCCAATGGATTTAACACAAATAATGGCTTCTTCGACGATTTATTTGCTCGTAGAAACGCCTATGATTATGGAAAGGGTTATGGAGGTGAGTTGTGAATAATAAGTTGATTATATCAACGTAATCTTCTTGTCGTTGTTTTTATAAGTTATGCATTTATATGAATCGTTTACAAATTGTCTTGTTATCGATAGCTGGATTCGACTACGGAAGAGGCGGAGTCCAGGGCGGTGGCTACAGAGACCTGGGAGGTCGTAACAAAGGACATACAGCTTCCGGGTTTTCCAACTCCTATAGGAAGGACGAATCCGGCGATAGGTCTAGCTACTACGACGATGGTCTCGGTCATAAAGGAACCATAAGATACGGTGCTGATGACGCAAGGTAATTAAGCTAATTTTTTTTCGAATTAGCGATATAATGAAAGAACTTATAAATAATGGTTGTCTCTTTCGTTAGATTCCGAGACCAAGGCGGTTCTCTCGGAAGAGGGGGATTCCACAACAGCAACCTTAATAGGTACGGCTCTGGGGCAAGAGGACGCTACGGTGATGCCCTCACATACGCCCAGGGTAGCGACAGGGGAGCACACTTCGGCGGCGGAAGATACGGCTATGCCAGGCATGGAAGGCTCATGCCGAACAAGAGTACCGGCCTCTACGTCATCCCAATGCCTAGCACACTTTTTTTCGATCAAACCCCCCCTCCACTGTAAAACCTTACGTTCGCTCCTACTCCTGGTACTCTTCCACCACGTACACCATGCCATAAATCTGATTCTGATGAAATATTCAAAGTAAATTAGCAGAAGACTTTATATCTAATTATTACGGTATATTTTGAAAACAAGTATAATACTCAAGACCTGCCATCGAAAGGTGAATGCTGGTGGACACCCATACATACCTCCAACTGAGGGGGGGTTACCAATGACAATCGGTTTATTTATTGACTTATCTTAAAACTGTACATATTTGTATATTTATTAGCTAAGGAGAAAGATGTTGCTTTACCTCATTATTTAAGAAAATATATAAAAAAAAATATTTGTGATTAATAAAGCTTTAAAAAAAATATTTTTTTGATCAATTATTTCCTTATTACTTGATAATGAAATCAAACTCCTATTTTTTAAACAAAAAAAAACTGATAGTTTAATTTATCTTTTTCATTATAAGTTATACCTATTATGTGTATGTATTTATATTCAAGAACGTCACTAAAAAATTTTCTTGCGGAAGGGGTGGTTCTAATATATAAAATTACCCAAAAATTTTAATTTTTTCAATAATTATCTATCAATACCAATCCTATGAGGTTATTAAAAATATATTGTTTTGTTAATAAGGAACCACATCTCTGAAAACAGTATCATACTAACATATATCTTTTAAAAGGTGGACACGTGTCTTGTTCACCACTTATTTTGTCAACATTTTTACACCTTTGATTCTAATTATTATTCTTAATGAAGTTCATTACTAAATTTAATTCTGCTCCAAAAAGGATTGTTAAAAATCATCTCCTTTAATAGTAATGAAACATCCATTTTTCAAACAAGCCTCTTCTGAAAATAAATTGCATTATTGGTGACACTATAACTTTTCTGTCCTACTTGTTCTTCTAGCTAATGTTATTGTTGGCTTAAATTTTTTTTAGTAGGAAGGACACAGAAAACATAAAATGGTTAGGAATGACCTATATAAAACCTTGGATATGTAAACCGATTGCGGTCAGTAACAAATTTATGTCAAATAAAATGATGAAAACAACAAAAAAAAGCAGTCGTATAAAAGCAGAAAATCATTTATGAAATAATTCCTAATAGATAAAACCACTCCTGCTATACAAAAGAGCTATTGTACAATACAATTTTGGGAAAATATTTTATACACACTCGAAAAGGAATAGACGAGCGAAATGGTAAATGAACCATAATGACTTAGTTGAACGGTATAAGCCGACCAGACCTCAAAAAATAGGCCTTGTTTTCTCTAATAAGCTCTTGCGTTTGACGTTTCACTTCGTGTTCTCTACTTTAATTTTATCTTTAACACATCGTTTTCTTTCTTTCTTTTATCATTTTTTTTTTATTTTCAACTATTGTTTACTGTTTTCATCCATTGTTTATTTTTTTCTTTTATCAATTGTCTGATTTTCAAATATTGCCTTCCTTTTTTGTCAAAATTTCACACTCAAAATTTTACTGCCAAAAATGCAATACATCAATTGCTAAAGGAAGTAATTGGGTGAGACACTCATTGATTCATGACAAACAAAAGAGCTATTGTTTTATTGCAAAAAAGTCACTAACATAAGAACATGGATGGAGATGTACTTTTAAAAAGTTTTTGTGAATTTCGACCTTATTTATTGACAAAAAGAAACAGAAAAACAAACAGTATTTCCATTAAAATGACACCAACCCTTTTATATATGAAACGTTGTTACAAGTGCATTTTTTTTTTAAATTTCACAAATAGAAAATTTTTAAAGTTTGTTATAATGCAAGGTTATAAAATGTCACATAATGACGTGTTGCAATAAACCGACGATATATTTAATTTACAGAAAAATAAGGCCTGTATTGCATTTTAAAAATTATAGAAATTAATTCTTCATCACTGTTCACTATGCATTATAACTCTTATTTTTACTTTCACTTACGTATATATGTAATATGTAGTAAGTGTAAGTATTGCGATCGAGAAAATTTTTGAATCTGAGTTTTAGACGGATTTATACGATTTGAGGTACCCTGAGTCGAAATGACCCAGTCCCGAAAAATTGTCAGTGTGTCTGTGTGTCTGTGTTTTTGTATGTTAGCAGTCTAGCTCAAAAACGAAAAGTCCTATGAAACTGATATCACGTATTTAAGATAGGTATATGCCTTAGTTGTGACGGCAACTTTTTCCTTAAAATCGGCTAACCGGAAGTGCCACTTTATATCAACGCTGAAACACATTTTCACAGTTTTCTCAAAAACGGCTCTAACAATTTTGATTAAACTCGGTGTATCATTGTATAATTAAGTGGTATTTAATATAAATTAGGTCTTATCCCCATTGATGTCACTTTACAGGGCTTAAATGCCCAATGTTCATATACGTCTTCCTCTAAAGTACCTTTAATATGGACTATTTTAAAAAGATAATTATTTCGCATTATTCAGAGTTACGAAAAAATGCTAAATATAACTTTTGAAAGAATTTGATAAGTTAATAAAGGAGAAAAAAAAAATAAAAATGCAGAAAAACGTAGCTATAGACTATAGCGCCTAAACGAATGTACCGATTTCATTGAAACTTCGCTAAAGTCATTTTCTCGACATCCTTCAAATTTATCTATATAACATTCAGCAGCGAAAAGAATCTGAAAAAAAGTTACGAGGGATGGTAAAATTAAATTCCGAATAACTCAAAAAGTATACACTGTTTTGGGAATGGTTTTCTAAAAGTTTATGGTTATTTAAGATTATTAAGCCTAAAAAAACAAAAAAAAAATCGTTAAAATTAGGTTATAATTAGGATAATTAGGAGATAAGATATGGTCTCTAGTTTTTTTTAATACGTTAATACGCAATGGTTATATCCTTTGTTTCGGTTTTTGAATTTTAAATGTGTTAATAAGATAATGCTAATTTTTTTTAAATGTATTTAAAATCCACCTACGCAAGTTGATGGCATTGTTTAAAAAACTATTTCAGTGTATTTGTGTGAAAGAAGAAATAAAATATAAAATCATTTCATGGATGTATAAATCATGTGTTTATAATATTAAATACATTTACTGTAGTTTAGTAATTATTGATTAAATTTTAAATTGGTTCATAATCGTCTTATCCTTTTGGCTACATTCAAGGAATTGCTGTGTTATATATGTGTGCGATGTTATATTGCGTTCCTGGCGTTTGAGAATTTAAAGAGAAAAAAGGAATTTTTTTTTATTTTGGGAAAGTGTTTATTATGCTATGTCTATTGTTTAATATGGCTTATTGTTGATAATTTGTAAGAGTATTGTTATGAAGGGGGAGAAATAAAATTAATGTCCGTATGGATTGATAAGTATGCTGTGTACGAAGCAACCCTATGTAGTAGGGCAGCATTACTTTTAATAAAGTATTTCTCTATAAATAATTAGGTATTAAAGTTAATTCCAAAATATTGTCATATAACTTTTTAGAAAACTAAATTAGTGAATAATTCGATAGATCTTCTCTATGTGATATTCCTCTACAATTTCATTGTACTTGTGTGAAAAAACAAGTGAAATACAAAAATATTTCATAGATACGTTTATAACCCTAAATATATTTACTGTATTTTAATAACTCTAGATCTCATAATATATTTAAATATTTAGATATCTATCGTCCGTTTATTCCGAAAAATCATCATGTAACCTTTTAGAAAATTAAATTAGTGAATAGTTTGATAATTCTTCTTTTTGCGATATTCCGACAGAATCCACTTACAATTAGTGTGACAACTTTTGACCTGTATGACAAACACTGCAAATCTCTTAATTCCGTTTTAATAAACTTTGCAATGGAAAATAAGAGTTTAATGACTTATAGTCGTACAATCCATAATCAATGGATCGAACAATCCATAATCTTGATATAACCGGTGATATAATAAATAGGACTATTGTTATTTTAATAGCATTTGTGTTTTTTTAGCTTTAGCTCAGTTTAAAATGCAATTTAAAACATTTTATAATAGCCTAACATGGCCAGAAAATAATTTTTATTAAAAGTTCAAAGATTAAGTGAAAGTTGTGTGTTGTGCGCACCAGATTTTTTAACCTTGTAAAATTTACCACAATACAGTTACAAGTTTTTCAATATAGCATCGATAGATCAAAAGTTGTCACACAAATTGTAAGTAAATAATGTTGTGAGTTCTCAGATGGAAAAATAAACAAATTATTCATTAATTGAATTTATTATAAAGTCCGGAATAACCTGATAATTAAACTATAGTACCTAAATGTATTTAAGATTATAAACATACTCTTACTCATCCCTGAAATATTTTTATATTTCAGTTATTTTTTCACACAAGTACAATAAAGCACATTTTAAAACAATACCGTTGCCTTAATTCGATGGATAATATACTTTTTTTAAACTTAAAAATAATTTTAATAGTTCACATTTCGGAAATTTCGTTTATTTTCCATGGAAACATTTGATTTCCATTAAATAACATTGGTTTTCAGAAATTATTAATTACAATTTTTTTCCTGACCAAATTCGATGATTCCTCCTCAAAAATATTTTGCTGCTTAGAAACTAGTGTGATCATAACAAGTGATTTATCCTACGTTGGACATGATGATAAGTAATTAGCTATTCACTGTACAGAATAAAGGTGGAAGCACTAACGGATCCAGGATTTATTTTTTTTGGGGGGGGGGAGAGCATCAGCCTGAAAGTTTTTTTTTTAAAGACATATAACGATAATTACATAGGAAGAAAAAGAAAGAAAGTAACTACTTATATGAAATAGAGTTTATGTTATTCTTTAAGTACTACTAAATGCAATTACACGAACAATAATACTTTTTGAGGTAATCATTAAATATTTTTTTCATAAGACATGGTTATATTTTGCCAGTTTGGGAAGGCTTCAGCCCAAAAGACTCTCCCCCTCCTCCCCCCGTAGATCCGCCGTGTGGAAGGAATCACCACAAAGGTAAACTGGAAGGTGAAACACCGATCAAGTGATTTTTAGTCGTTGGCTAATGAGGAAGTTCACCAAGCCCCCCCTCACTCGTTGAAAAAAATACTGATGTTTATTTTATACAAGAACTATAAATTGTTATATAAATATTAATATATTTTTAGATCTTATTGATTTACTCTGAATCTTTATAATTAGGTAATTAAAATTAATTAATTAATTAAGACAATTTAACTCACAATGGCAACAACACTGACCTCTTATATTACCTACTGAAGATATATAACCTGAGTATTATTAATATTTTTGTGATATCAGTGTTCCTCTTGTAAATTTTATATTGCAGTATTATCGTTTAGTTTAGTATTAATGATACCTCCTCCCCCTCCTGTACCTTTCTGTCCAGCCTGCAGGGCTTTAGACGAAAACGAACCATCCATAGATGTGGCCTTAAAAGATATTTTGGATTGTTGGTCGCGATTTTATCCTGAAAGAGGAAAAAAACCCGAAATCAGTTATAAACATGTGGTTCCGATTTTACAACAAGGTCCAACTTGTGGACTAGTTGCTATAGCCATGGTGTTAACATTAGTTCCAAGAAACTGGACCTTACAGGAGTTACTGGATGATGCTCAGTCCCTTGGCTTTAGTAAAAGTGGTGAAATGTTTTCTGTAGATAATATGGAAACGTTTGCTAAGCATGTTCTAGGTGATTATTTTAAAGTGGAAATGTACTCAGGTGGTTTAGCAGCTGAGAAAGCCGCTGTGATGGAGTGTTTAGTTAAAGGGCAAGGGCTTTACTTAGTTCCTTATGATTCAGATAGAAATCATTTGCCAGCTTGCCTCAACGGTCATAAGGCTCATTGGGCGGTATTATGTGGTGCCGTTATTGATAATGGTGTTTCATTTGTTTTAGCAAGGCAGGGAAAGAGTAGACATATTGGAATATGGGACTATGATGTGTTAGATCGGAGTAATAATAATTTGTACGAAATAGCACCTTCAAGGTTGACAGATGATTATACCTTTTATGACTTGAAAACATCTATGGCAGGAAAATTTATTAAATTGGAAGAAAGGATAACATTATCAAATCCATTTTTTAGTTAATAAGTTTGATGAGTAATCTTAAGTGTTCTACTTTTAAATTAAAAAAGGTGTTTAAATTGCAATTGTCGATGTGCTTTATATTATTAACATTGGTTTGTTTTATTGAAGCTGACTAATTTGTCTGTAATTATAGAAATGGGTATTAACAATTTAGCTGTAGCATAATAAATTTATAATTGTCGTAAAATATTAACTCTAATTTGAAATGAAAACAAACAGGGTTTTATTTGCCGGGTTATGAAAGTAAATACAAAGCTCAATTTTGTAAGATAATTATTTCTTTAGGTTATATATCAGTGGAGTTGATTATCAAATTTAGGATCCTTTTAAGAGATGTTTAAAATTCAGAGTTCGTGGATTTTTCTGTAGAATATAAATTTAATTCCTTAAATCATCTGTTAATTTGATAAGGATTCAGTACTCCCTTATAGAGCATTTGAATCAGTGCCATGCAGTATTTGGTTTCTTGTAATCTAATTTAAAGAACAAATACTTTGTCAATGTTTAATATCATATTAGTTAAGATTATCTATTTTAATGTATTAAATATAAATAACTTTACGGGTTGTTTGGTCAGTTTTCTGATAGGCGGGATGTTATGAATCAGACTGTGATATGATTTACCATTAGATACTGTGCCATGAGTCATTCAACATTCAGTATCTTTAAGCGTATTTATTATGGGTTTCCTTTGTTTATTCAACCATTGTTATGTTTATTTAGAAGAAGTTTAGTAAATAATGAAAGTTTTTGTTGGCTGTGCTTATTGTGTTATGAAAGATATGTATGATCCTTTGTCAAATGTTATGAAAATATTTTCTTTTGATATTTTATGATTGTTAATAAATAACTATTTGGTCATTCTGTCTATAACAATATTGTCATTTACTTGTATTAGTATATGATCGTTACCAATTATAATTTTTATTGTACATGAAAGTCTGTTGATTGTTTAATGTAAAATTGATACTGTTATGGTTTTTAAAACCATTTTATGTAGCTTAATGATGTTGCAAAGAATGCTTATGCTTAAAGGAATGAAGAATTATATTTTAAATTGTCAAAATAATAAAATTTTATTTTATTGATGTTTTTATTAATTTCTTTTATGTATTTAAACAGTTGGTAAACCTCTATCCAGAACAGTAGTCCCACTATTTAGAGTATAATTTCTCAAAAGTTGGTGTGCTTTTTGAATAAAATATTTATTTCCAACGTAGTACCAGCAAAAGTTTTTAAGTACACATGGTTGAAAGTAGAAAAAAATCTTTACTACACATTTTTTTAATTTAAACATTAAGTATAACTTCATTACCCTTTTATTAAAAATATTTGTCTATTATAAATAAAGTTTATACCAAATAATAAATATAAAATAAGAATTTTAGTTCCTGTGAGATTGACAATCCATAACTGGAACTTGCTGCCTCTTTAATTTTCCTCCATGTTTGCGTGTCTTGAGCAGTCATCCACCAGTTTCTGATTCCAAGGATTCTGGCTTCAGCACTTATTTCATCTTTCCATATGAGTTTCGGTCTGACCGGTTTTCTTTTTCCACCCTCCATGCTGAGCGATTTCTTTGGGGTTGAGGTATTGTCTATCCGTGCGTCGTAAAAGTGAAAGAAACTAACTGTTATATATACACATAATCATTACATATATATGTGCATAAACGTATATGTATATATACATAATATAATGTAATAAATAAATGTAAAATTATACAGAAATTTAAAGTAAAAATATAAAGAATTTAGATGATACTTAAGCTGTTTTATCATTTTTCATTCACCTAAAAACAATATATATATTTCATATTATATAAAAGAGTTTGAAACCCAAAATAAATGTAAGTGCAATAATAAAATTTATAACTGCTTTGTTTCAATATGGAACATTTTTAGATAAGAAAAAAAAAATGGATATACAAAGAGAATTTTGGAATAATTGGAATCCTGCCGTGTTTTTTTTAGAAATAACATACTTTAATTTTTATGATCACTTAGTTATTTTGCTTTTTAAAAATTATCAAATACGCAAGACATTGAAGTATTACGGGATTGCCGCTTTAATTTTTCATTGCCATGTGCAGCCAGAAAGGCATTTGTCCTGTTTATTAAAAATTAAAATACATTTTTGAAAGCTAAGATCTTGCAGGGTGACTCAAGGTAATATTTAAAACAAAATAAAAAATTCTTTTTGAATGCCGTCTTTTTGGATTTCAGGAACCGTCATCTTGTAGAAACACTGGGATGAGCTACCGCAGTCATAAGTGTTAAAACAGCATTTAAATGCCCAACTTTCAAATTTTCTTCCTCTAAAGTATCTTTAATTTTTTTTATTTGAAATAATTAACCATCTTACATTGCAACCTGCTTTAAAAACCGGCTAAATATACAATATGAAATTTGATAAAGGAAAAATAAGGGGGAAAGGAGAAACAAGGGATCATAATAGATAACTGAAGGAACCCGAGCTTGGTCGAAAGGTCAGAATAAGTTTCCATACCTAATATGTGCTCCAATAACATTATTATTATGTATACAAGTATGATTTTCATAAATGCTAGCATTGGTATTACGTAATATTTAATTGTATACATTATAGCAATATAAAAATTAAAATTTGTAAACAAATAAAAATACTGCAGTGAAATATAAATAAATGAAGCAGATTTTTTTTCGGACTAAAAATATTAATTATAATCAAAATATACAGTATTAAAAGGAAATGGTTTGTGACAAAAATCATAAATATAATACAATAGACGGCACTAAAAAAAAAAATGGTAGTTAATTATTTAAAATAATATGTTATACCATTTTTACTTTCACTTGCCTTTTTTAGAAAATACCTATTTCAGCTAAAAAAAAAGAAGTGGTAAGTGATAATTGTGTGATATGTGCACTGCACCAGATTTTTCTAGAAATAGAATGTTAAGAACTATTGATATGTAAAATGTTTTTAAGAAATTATTTTTCATTTCAGAATCTGAAATTTTATGAACAGGAAAATATATATATATGTTCATTGGAAAAAGTACTTTAAAACCAAAAGAAATATTTGATTAATTAATCACATCTATTCATGTTATAAGAAATAAATGGTAATGATAATTTCATGGAAAATAAAAAACTGAGGCTTATCAAAAACATTACTTTATTGCCAAACTTAAATGCATAAATATAGGAAACAATGTTCAAGTAAAGAAATAAAAACAAGTAACAACCAAATTATTCTTTTAGGAATTCTTATACAAAATAACAAATAAAATCATACATTGTAATATAAATAAATAACAAAGATGTCTAGTATTTAATTCTTAAAAAGTTGAAAAAAGGAAAAAAAAATCATAACCTTTAAAAAATGGTGTTAAATTAGTAATGAATATAAAGAAACCTTAAAACAAGAACTCAACAAATAATAGTCAATGATAAAAAAAAATATTTATCACAGTATTTAAATAAATTACTAATATTATTGGTAAGTAAAATTGTTGATCTAAATAACAAAATGTTATTTTGTGCCGTAATGGTATATAAAAACATGGTATAGAGCTCTCTAATGTGGCAGAATCATGAGGTGTATATTCAGTATCGATATAAATAAATAGTAACTAAAATTAAGTGTTTAGTGCACCACTTCAACAATTAAAAAAATAAATTGTTAGCTTTTAGAATCAGCAATACAACAGGACATTTTATAATAAAAAGAGGTTGTAACATACTTAAATAATTTATAAATGATAAAACATTGAATATATTACTTTTCCCAGAAGAAAATAATTATTTATCAATATTGCTACTTGAATTTTTGTTGAAGTGGAGAAAGGTACACATAATTAGGAGACATGAATACTTTATAAACATACTTTCAATAAAAATGAAGCACAAAATGTAAGAGTAGAAAAAGAATATTCGAGATAAATCAATAAAATAAATAAAATGTCGATGAAATCTATAAGTAAAGTAAATGTCTCAATGAAGATGAATTGTTCACTTCTGTTGAAATTCATGTAACCGACAATTTAGTTATCATGGCTAACAAATAATTTATCAATTCTCCACAGGGTACTTCCTCTTCTTGCCGCGTGGTAACATTACGGACTTTCACCACGCTACGGCTAATTTCATCCTGCCCCAAGATTATTACCAATGGAATTTGATTCTCTTCACAATACTGCAGTTGTGATAAAAGCTTAGGATTGCCCTTGTAGGAATGTTCGGTCTAAACATATAGATAGGTATAAACCAGTATATTTCAATTAAATAAATATAAGCTATTATTAAATGTTTAGATTAAAAATAGTTAATAAAATTGTAAAGTCAGATTAAAAAAACAGTTAATAAGAAAACTAACTAAAACTACTCAAGAGTGGGGGATCGACGGAAGCTATTTCCAGTTTATTATAAATAAATGATATAAATGATGAAAGTATAGGAGATCACTAATGGTGAATTATACACTGCATAATTATTCAAGATTGATCCATAGCGAGAAAAACATTATAGTTAACGTTTCTAACAATTCATAATAAGTCTCATCCCAATTACCCATTCAATGATATTTCCTCAAAAGCAACTTTAGGTACTACTAAACAGTGAAAAAAAAAAAAAATTTCAAACTCCACATTGAGTCACTAATTTCGAAAGCTTTCTTCTTCAGGCGATCAATAGTTCAATCACCCCGAAAATTCAGGCAAACAAGTTATGAAACAAAACAAACTTTATTTTCGAATAACTAAAAAATTACACACTTTTCCCTTGGTTATGCCCAGGATTGTATAAAAGATTACTTAATTCCGTACAAAAGGGGGAAAAAAATCATCGAAATTGGACATTTTTAGGAAAGATACAGCTGACTGAAATTTGTAAATATGTTGGTTCCAGAAAAAAATGAAGATTTAAATTAATTTTTGTTTTTAATAACTATATTTATCGATAAAGTAACATTTAATTTCTTTATCTTTTGATCTGTTGCATTATTTTATTTTCTTATTCATTTGGCATTTGATAACAATATGATGTGCGAATTTTTCGCACGGGACTACTAGTTTTAATTATTTCGTTAACGCTTGAAATTCATTTTGTACCAAATATAAGATCCTGTCATGCTCAAATACTATGAATAAGGTATTGTTAGATTTAGAATTTCACAGGGAGTTAAAGAATCATACTTTCACTTATTGTTATTCTTTCACAAACAGATTAAGTTGATATAAACATTTCACTAGGCTTCAAAACTGGGATAGTGATAAGACAGTGGATCGAGATGGGACTCCGCTTGATAAAATTGTTTCTCAGTGGAAATAGATAAAGTAACTGTTAGAAAAACTGATATTAACATTAACAACCCATAATTGCACCAATTAAAACCAAATTCTTTACAAACAAAATTTGTTGAAAACTCACATTAATGCCAGCATCCCACAACATTGAAGTCAGCTTAAGTCTCTCTTTAACCAAACCCTTCTGGGCAGAGGCCACATAAACCTGCACATCTGTTGTTCGGTACTTCTCACCTTTAGCCTCCAGAACGGAAAAGATCCTCTCAACTCCTAATGATACTCCAACACAGGAAACACCACGACTCTTGGGGTCAAACATTGCAACAAGATTATCATATCGACCACCTCCAGCAACGGATCCGACTTCTTTATCTGTGAACATTAAAGACTATTTATTTTTATCATAAGCAGAAAACAAAGTACAGTATCACTCCATTAATTTCAATTATTCTAAATAGATCAGTCCTATATAAACTAAGAATCTAACAAGAATTACTCATATAAATGAATAAATAAACTTATGTTTTGATATGATAGTTTAATTGTTTTCTCATCAATTCTTTGAACCAGAACACTTTCGATTAGCAGAAATGATTGAAAAGAAGAATGCTTGCCGTAACCTTTAGAGTCCATATTAGAATAATTTACTCAGTAACCTAAATTTGGCAATCTAACCAATCTTCAAGACTTCATGTAAACATTATGTATGTATCCTATTATGTATGTATGTAACACATACATTAAGTAGTACTGAAAATAAAATCAAGACGAAAGAAAAAGCGTATCTGTTAGGAAAAAAATGCTAAAAAATTTTATCATAAAAATTGTATACCAAATTCTATTTAATCCAGATTTTGTTGATCGTGATAGGAACAAGTCTCATCTGATTTAGATTGATGGGAGTCTACTATATATTTTGTAACAATTTTTTCTTTACGATTCACAGTTTAAAATAGGAGCAACATATGTCCCTATTTTAAAAAAAATAAAATTTTGTAAACCGTAACTATTAAAACTTTGTTTGTAATAAATGAGGAGAGGGGAGTGACTTAGAATTCAACTACTGTAAAAAGTTTCTGACAAAAAGTAGCAAAAAGCAGAGTTACACTTAGTACTAAATATTTTTTCTTAATAAGAAAATTCCACAAAAATATTATTATGAACTACTAAAAAAGTAAATATTATTACATATGATATCATAAATAATATTATATGATATCGCTGGTTTATTGTAATAAGTCATTAAGTAACATTTCATACTCTTAACTCACCAAGAACTTTGATTAAATTTTCTTTTGTGAAATCAGAAAATTATGCGCTTGATATAATCATATTTTATATATAAAGGGTTTGAGTCATTTTAGAGCAATTATTGTGTTTTTTAATCAATAAATAATGTTAAAATTTACAAAAATGTGTATAATAAATTTTTGCAATAAACTGACGATATATACAACACAGATAAAAAAGAAAAACATTCACTTACCATTAATAACAGCTTCGTATATTATTCCTGTGTAATAGTCGAGACCTCTCGCCAGTGACAGATCAAAGACAACTTTCTCATTTACACTCCCACATAATTCCAAGTAATCCGCCAATAATGATAGCTCAGATAGTGCTTTAGGACCAGAGCTGCTGGATCCCAAAGGACCTTCCTTCAAACTATTGAGCAGGGTGCGATCACCACTTTGTTTGATGAATTCACCAACTTTATCGGCTATATCACTTGATAATCCCTTTGTCATCATTTCAGCTTTCACCTCTTCCCATGGTAGCTAATGAAGAAAAAAAAAAAAAAAATCAGAATACATTTTAACCTAAACATGACAACATGGATGATTCTTAGGTCTTTACATACAAACTTCTTTATATAATCATTCATTTACTTTTCATTTAAAAGCAATTTTGAATAGATGTCTGGAAATAACAATGAAGACGAAAGCGGCATATAAATGTATATATCATTATTTTCTGACATTTTTATCAATTTCTGACGTAACATTTTTTTTTTCTGAAGCGGGCTGTTAACCCTACACTCAACCCCGAACCTGGAGAATCAAAGGGATTTATATTTAGAGCTCCTGTTTCTTAGAAGAACTGTCTTAAAAAAAGTATCGAGCCTCTTCTACCTGTTGGCAGTAAACCATCTCACTTGAGTGCCACCGTTGAAATACAAACAGGCTTATGGTCAACTAATAAATATATAGAAATCAACTATATAAAACAATAGCTGGCTTCATCAAAAAACTATGGTTAGGTTTAACCCATTGTCTGCCAACTAAAAGCTTATTCATATTTAGTTTACTTGTCATATCTCAGTATTACATATAAAAGTTTTTAATGACCGTCTCATATTTTATTTTGCATTTACAAAGCGGGAGGGAAAATGGAGAAGACGGCCCCCTGAAAAGGAGGATTGAAGAGGCAATGTTGTGGAGGCAAAGGCCCTACAAGGCAGTTTTTATGTAACAGTAATTTGAGTGAGTTGATGTGTGTTTTTGTGAAAATGGACAAAATCGAGAATCGAGCTGTCATTAAATATTTGTTTTTGAAAGGCAATACGCCTACGCAAATCAAAGATGAGTTGGATTCTGTGTATGGGGACTCTGCACCATCATTTACCACAGTGAAATATGGGCAGCTGAATATAAACATGGCCGTAAGAGCTAGGGAGACGATGAACGTTTGGGACGTCCAAAAACTGCTACTACCAACATTAACATCGCTAAAGTTCACCAAATGGTGCTCGACGACTGCCGAATTATAGTGAGAGAGATAGCAGAGGTTATGAAAATTTCAAAAGAATGTGTTTGTTTCATATTAAATCAACATATAGATATGAGAAAGCTGTCCGCACGTTAGCTGCCGCGTTTGCTCACATTAAACCAAAAATGTGTTCAAATGAACATTTCCAACACTCTGCTGGCGGAGTTTAGGCCCAATTAATCCGAGTTTTGATGGCGATTAATTACTGTAGATGAAACTTGGATACACCATTATACGCCCAAAACAAAAATACAGTCTAAACAGGGGACTGCAAAGGGGAAACCAGTTCCAAAAAAAGCAAAAACTGTTTTCTTGGCTGGGAAAGTGTTGGCGACTATTTTTGGGATAATCTAGGAATTATTTTAATAGACTATCTTCAAAAAGGAAAAACCATTACAGGAGCATACTACACATCATTATTGGACAAGCTGAAGGCAAAACTTGCAGAAAAACGGCCACATTTCCAAAAAAATAAAATCCTGTTTCACCAAGACAACGCACCTCTCACACCTCAGCGGTCGCCATGACAAAAATCCATGAATTACGGTTTGAATTGCTTGACCATCCACCTTACTCACCACATTTAGCCCCAAGCGACTTCTTTTCGTTTCCTTATCTAAAAATTGCGCTCGGAGGACAGAGGTTTTCGTCAAATGAAGAGGCAATCACCTTCGTGAACAATTATTTTGCAGAGAAAAACGCTGAGTACTTTTTGGACAGGTTACAGAGATGGGAGAAGTGTTTAGAGTTCCAAGGACACTATGTTGAAAAATAAAAAAAATAAAATCAGAAAAAATTTCTTTTATTTTTGCTAGGTCGGAAATTTTTCAGACCATCCTCGTAATAATTATATTGGCAACATGGTGCAATGTATAACATAAATTTGTAATTAAAGAGAAGAAATTAAAAATTGTTTGAACTATGGTTTCATTCTGTTTAAATTATGTTGATAAAAAATAATACAATCTGAACTACAGAATACATGTGAATTACAGTTATACAATTTGAGCAATGAGTAGTACAATTAAATGAACAGTTGTATAATTTGTAAAATGGGGGTTGGTCCTCTGTCAGGCGGACAGGGGGTATCTCCCTAGTAATAATAAATTAAATTGGCTTTTTAAACCAGGATCCTAAAAAGTACCATGACAGTCAATATTTTAACACATATCATTTTAATAAAAAAACATGAAATACTTCATACCTTGTCAAGTTTATCAACAGAAGAACAAACGGGTCTGAAAAGATCAGTAGGAACACCGCATACTTCAAAAATGCTGTTTAGAAGGAGCCGATGGTTCACCTAAATAAAATTATAGTAATAATAGAATATATACAGTAATAATACAGTATTAGCATTATTTTGAAAGAAGCGATGTGATTGAAGGTACAGATATTAAATAAAATAAAAAGGCAAACAGATAAAATAAAAATAAGAATAGATTCTTATTTAATAGTCTACTAACCTTAATTACATATTTTCCAATTTTTACTGCATCTAATGCCTCAGAAACAATTTTCAAACATTCAACTTCAGGAAGCATGGCATCGTAATTTCCAGCTATATCGAAATCCTAAATTAAGGTAAATAGGTTAACTAAAAAAAACACATTATCAAATGGATAATATAAATAATTTTTAAAAGCTGATCATGCTGATTTTAACTAACACACTGGTAAAACTCCCTGTAGCGGCCTTTGGTAAAAGAGGGGGCATCTCTCCTATATACTTTGGCGATATGATACCTTTTAATATTAGTAACTTTGTTCATGGCCAAATATCTGGCAAAAGGTACTGTTAGGTCATATCTAAAACAAACAAAACATTTAATTTATTAACTATAGTCAGATTTTCTATTTTTAAAATGATATTGAAAATATATACTGACGTTTATGTAATGATTAAATTTATCCAATAAATTAAGCAATATAAATTTTTTATAATTTCACCTGAGTGCTAAGAATTCACCACCCTGATCAGCCAAATCATAGATCAACTTTGAGTCTTCTCCATATTTGCCAGTAAGAATTTCCTTTAAACATAATAAGTTTTAAATTACCAATTGAATTGTGACGAGTGATTTAAACATAATTCCACATGATTTTAATGTGATATAGATAGCTAATGTAATATAATATTATGCTAGGATGTAGAAGGGCAATTGGAAGTAACCAACTGTCACTAGCTTCCCATAAGGGTTACCTATAGGATAATTCTCTCATACGGTAGGATAACTTTCTCCAGAAATAGCCAGAGAGGCAAAGAAATAAAAGTGAAAGAAGGGTGAACGCAAACATATACCTATATACGTAATATATAGAATTGATTGCTATCTATGAAAATTTTGAGTAGAAGTTTTCAATGGATATACATTTTAAGGACTCCTTAGTCCAAATCACTAAGTCTTGCAAAAGGGTTTGTGTAATGTATGTGAACAGCCTAGCTTAAAAATGAACAGTCATATGAAAATGAAATTTCATATTTAGGCAGCATATTACAGCAACTTTTTTTTTTTTGCAAAAATCACCTAACTTTCTCAAGAACAACTTTAAAAATTTTGATCAAACTTATAATACCAATGTAAAATTAAGCGGTCTCTAATATCAGGCAGGAATAATCATAATTGAAATAGTATGTAATAACAATTCCCTAAAATAAATTTCAATAAAATGATTTACTGACCATATCGTTGCTTTATTTTAATAAAGGCACGATTTGAAAAAATTCTTAATTTTAAGAATTTATTTGTATGCAATGTTAATATAAAGATAATAAAGTTTCATCACAGAGGTCTATATATACTTTTTTCTAGTTAGCCAGCGAAGAGGAGATGGGCCTGTTCCCATTATCTCATAATCAGTTTTATAACATTATTTTATTCATTGGGATCACGATATTTTCGTTTGAATTGTGCTACTATGAGAGCAAAGTAGCAATATAATTATTTATTTACCATAAACATGGAGAATTATCTTAAATCTTCTTACTTTAAGTTCAAAAACAGGGGTTTCTATCGTCTCAGCACCATGTAGTTTAAAAATAGTCTCAATCTTATTAAGTACAGAGTTTCTAAGAGCCATTTGTTGCGGACCATAGTCTCTGGTACCTTTTGGGGTCTTAAGAGTAATTTTACCAGATGTTTCTCCATCGTTCAATTGAGCTTTCAAAGCTAATAATTTGGCTACTTCTTCTGCAACCTGGAACATATAGTTATAATTTAAATGAAATTAGAACTAAACCTAGCATGATGTAATAAGAATAGAAAGTAGCGAATATTGTGTAATACCTATCATGACAATACTAGACAAAATAATATTATGGTAATACAGCTATTTAGTTATAAGATAAAAATTGGGTGAGGATTTTAAATCAAAAAGTAAATAAATCATAAAAAAATTACATTTCCAGCAGTAGAATAGCTGCACTTGGTGAGAGAAGATAATATCAAATTAGAAAAATATTTCTTATTTATATTTCTAATGTAAAACATCTTAATAATAAATAATTTAAAAAAATATGTATTTATCAAAATATATTTTGAGATAGGCCGAACATAATTAAAAATACTGATACTGAAATATCAACATTTGCTTTAAATTGTGCAATAAATGGTAATATATATGACAACGACTTAGATAAATATAACATCCAATAAATAAAGAATAGCAGATTGATTGGAATTTCTAAACAGAAAACTGCACACGGTAAAAAGTTAACTGCTGAGGAAGGTTACGCATATTGACAAGAAGATTAAGAACCTACGATTTCCTTGTCTGCCTTTGATTCTTTAAGTTTTCGAACAACTTCCCCTTGGAGTTTTATGCTCTCCTGAATCTTGGCTCTGTCACTGTCATCTGCCATTGCGAATGATACGGTTCAACTATACAATGTGGCGATAATTACATGTTCCATTGGAGAAAGGTTTTTGAAATCCATTGCTACCACACTCAAACAGTGTTGACTCATAGACTAATTTATTGTCAATAACAGAAACCAAATATGCAAAATGTTGGTATGATTATTAACTACTAGCTATAAATCAATGTCTCTCTGTAACAAGAGCAGTCAAAACCTGGTCACAATTATTATATACATTTGTAGTGAATAGTTAATGTTTTACTTTTAGGATTATTATTTTCAATAATGAATCGACCAACCTACCATGAAAAGTTAACCCCCTTCAAAAATTGCTATTTTAGATTTCATGATAGGGAAAAACTCCCCGTTATCGGCATATTTAAGGAAACTTTAATGTGTCCCATTTTCAATCGCGTTGGTAGTTGGTTTAACAATTTCGGTTCTATTAAGTCTGAAAAGATCTCTAATTTCAAAATATATGAGTGAAACAGTGTCTTTCTTTTAATTTTTCTATAGTTAAATCGAAAAATAGCCCCATGAGCCAGTTTTCAGCACCATTTTTCCAGTTTTCGGTACCCCATACTAAGTTTTCAAAAACCTAAATAATTAATTTAAGCCTTCAGAGTTGACTGAGCGAATCGCTGCTCCAAGCAGGATTTTTGAAGCAGTTAAGAGAGTTTTTCTAAACAGGCGTGAGGTGGAAAAGAAAACAAAGGTGGCTGCTTACAGATAGACATTTCTTCCCATTTTAACGTACTCCTCAGAATCATAGACGCTGACAAAGAAACATAAATCAAGGATACAAGCGTCAGAAATGTGATTCCTCCGAAAGATCGAGGCGAAAACAAGAAGAGACAGAGTACGCAACACCACCATCAGGTTGATCCTCAATATTAAGTCGGCCAATGATGTGATACAAGAGAATCGGCTGAGATGGCTAGGACATCTCCTGCGGATGGAACCAAACACAATAGCTAGCGAAACCTATCGAGCTAAAGTAGAGGGCAAGCGAGATAGAGGACAGCCTAGGAGGAATTGGGAAGATGAGTTGAAGAACGACTTCCAGAGAATAGGTCTTCAATGGAATGATAGAAGGCGTCTTGGGGAAGACCGGCAGAGCTGGAGAAGGCTCTATAAACTTCCTCCTCACACTTCTTAATGCGGTTCAAGAGAGTGGATTATGAAGCCTTCAGAATGAAAGAACTACAATGATATTGTACAGGAATGTGGGTTTCTTGCCAAAAACGAAAGACACGTCCTTCGTAGACAACTCTCGAATTTCTTTTCTTCAGAGATTTTTTCGACTTATAAAACTAAATAAATAGTGGGAGATGCTAGAATATGCGAGCGCAATAGGGATTCCAAACGAGCGTCTTTCGCCACCTATAGACCATTCCCAACACTTAATATTCTTCAATGACTGCTGTGGGTGCCGAAAACTGGATGGGCTTCCGACAATATAGAGATAAAAAATAGAGTTAAAGCCGCCCATGGTTTTTTTTATGGGACTACTGCATCGATTTTTTTTAAAGAGTAACACAGTACCAATGTCACTCCACCTTTTCGTGTGGGCCAAGATCGCTTCTTCGCGATATAAATGGCATTTCGAAAATATGATCCTATTGATACCACGTATTACCATTTGGCGGGGTGATTCTCTGAACTTAAAAATTATCATATAAAAAAAAAAAAAAAAAAAAAAAAAGTATCATATGCCATTTTGAACATAGTGGTGGCCAATTAATAGTTTCGAATTAAACATTTGCTGGAGACTTGCTGGCGGCCATACAGTCAGCCTATCAAGGAGCCATGGCAGTGGTAAGGATGAACGGTATGGAATCGGAACCTTTTCCAATTGCGAGAGGAGTTAGACAGGGAGATAGCTTAAGTCCCCTTCTATTTATAAATGTAATGGATGAAATCCACAAAATCTGTAAACGCCGAACTGCGTGGACAACAATTGGGAAGTGGAATCTGAGAACTGTCCTCATACAAAGCCTTCTATACGCGGATGACATAGTCCTAATAGCCGAAACAAAGACCGAACTACAACAAGCTTTGGTAGAGTGGGAGGAAGAGTTGCTCAGGAAAGGGATGCAAATTAACACCTCCAAGAGTAAAGTGCTGGTTATGACGAGGGAAGAGCGAGAAGATGTCCAGCTGATCTGTAATGGCGAGACACTTGAGGTGGTGACTGAATATACCTACCTGGGGACCGTAATTAGTAGTTCTGGTAAGATAGACGCCGAAATATCAAGTAGAATATGTAAGGCGAATCAGGTGTATTACCAGACTACTAATAGCATTATCGGCCATCGCGAAGTAGACAAGAAGACCAAAATGCACGTATATAAGTCTGTTTACCTACCTACACTCACCTACGGCGGAGAAAGCTGGACAATGCTAGACAGGCACTCTAGTCGCATAACGGCAGCAGAAATGAGGTTCCTTCGCAGATCTGTTGGCAGAACTAGAAGGGATCGCATTAGGAATGAAATCATTAGAGAGCAGCTAGGAGTTGCCGAACTTAAAACTACTCTAGAAAGACGGCAGCTCCAGTGGTTTGGACACGTCTGCCGCATGAATGAGAATTTGAATCCTATAAGGATATTAGAGGCTCGACCCACAGGAAGGAGACCACGCGGACGCCCCAGACTCACGTTCCAGGATTACATTCAAAGAATTTGGATGTAAAAGAGGCAAAACCCTTAATGAGATGAAGCGATTAAGCACGGACCGGGAAGAGTGGCTGCACTGGTTGAGGCTCCTCGACGCTAATTAATGGCATAAGAGGAAGACAAAGAAGAGAAGAAGAAGAATTAAACAATTCAAAAACAAAAAATATTTATAAGAAGAAAAAAAAAGTACTTTTCATTTTGTTAATTAGATATTCTGTTCAATTATCATAGAATGCTTAATACAAAGATGCAGTGCTGGGGCCTTAGGACGGCGCAACAGGGGCAATCATCCTGGGGTACCTACCTGGAGGGGTGATCCTTGGGGGCACTGGCTGATCTTCAGAGGCGCTTACTACTTCTTATAAATTTAAAAAATATACGAAACGTCTTCAAACAATTAATTTTAGCCTATCGATAAAGCAACTGCATTAGAGAAATATTTAATGAAATACAATTCAAATATTATATAGTATAAAACCGCTTAAGAAATAAATTAATTTTTTTTAGGGCGGAAGAGGTGACTTCATTACCTGTGGGCGCTGAGCGTACAAGGCCGGCACTGCAAAGATGTAATATCTGAATTAAGTTATTTATTTATTCAATTTTAAATGGTTAAAGTGACCATATCTTTTTGTCTATGTTCAAAGGACTACGTTACTTGCTGTGTGTGTGTTCTAATTTTCTGGTTTTAAAACTTTAGCATTCAAATACAATATTTTTTTTTCCGTATAAATTTACGAAATTGTCTTGTATTGGTTTTACCAAAATATATATATATATATATATATATATATATATATATATATATTGTATAATTGTAATTGTGTATATTAGTATATTATAGTATTGATATTGTTTATGCTATGTAATATGAAAAAGAATTTGTATATATATATATATATATATATATATATATATATATATATATATATATATATATATAAACATATAATTAAGTGTTACGTCAAAAAAAAAGATTGATGAGTATGCTGTGTATCCAGCAAACCTATATAGTAGGGCAGCACTGCTTTAAATAAAATATTTCTCTCTCTTGTATTTTTGAGTATTTGGTGGGCCAAGATTGACAAGTAAATAAATAATAATAAATAAATTGTACTCAGAGGCTTTTTCAGCGTGGCTGTGGATATGCCAATGCTTTGGGCTTTTCTATTAGACTATTATGTATATTTCTTAATGATTGGCCACAATATCACAGATCATTCCAGAATGGTCCTAGGAAGTGAATATTGTCATCCGCCATTTTGTTTCGAAATCGTGGTAGATTAGACATTCTATTCACTCATAATAGGAACATGAAGTTAGAAGAAAAATATAAAGAGTTTTGGAATTATAGTACTTTAATTAGGACTTGAAGAGCAGGCTTGTCCTTGAGATGACAAGAGATTATTGTTAAAACAATTAATATTTAATGAATGTAGTCGGAAACAACATTTAACTATTGAATAGAAATATACATATGGTAGTCTGTTGTAATGAACCAGAATTAAAATCTCCCCTTTTGCCCTGTTTACTCCACTTATGCTCAATTGAAAACAAAATTTTACTGTACACAAATCGGGATAGGCCTATTGATAATTTTATAGGGCATATTAGCTTTCTTCCCAAGGAAAGTGAGATTTAGATTCATTCTTACATTTATCTTAAGAAAAAGGTCACTTTTGGTGATTGGAACATATATTTCTTATTATCCTATAAAGGAATGCTATAGTTACAAGTCAATCAGCACATCATCACTTTGGAATGACTCTATCACTCTATTCTCTCCAGTTTTTTTTATCTTTTAGAGATTCATTAACAGACCATAAGAACCATTTTTGGATAGTTTCGTCATAAGCAGCTGTATTATTCTAAGGAGCTGATGAAACCGATCATACATTGAATTGGACTCATTTACCCTTAAGAAAATGAGGATTTTAAAATTTTCTCAAAAGCCATTGAGATAAACCATACTTCTAAAGATCTAATCACCCCCACTATTGATATTATCTCATTTTTTAGACCTGTTTAGTATTGTTTATTAAAACTAATGTTATTTGCCTTCCCTTAAAACTGACATTTATTGTTTCTGTTTAAACAAATTTAAAAAATATGATAAATAGGATTTTTTTTTCACAGGAGTATGAAAACATTTATATGAATTGACATTATATTTGCGAACCTATTTCAGTGGGACAAAGAGAATTATTTATTGTGATTACAAATAGTTAAACTAAATAATTATTGCTAATTATACATTATTGGGTTTGTAGAAAACTATTTGCATTAAATTAAATTTATGAAAATTTGATGAAAAGTTAATTTTTCTTTTGGAAACTGATATTTTACACATTACTTTTTGAAACATATCTAAGAAAGTAATTATTTAAAAAATAACGAAATATCATTATTAAATAAGT